CGGCCCTGTGGACCCGGGCAAAGCCCGCTGGACTGCCTCCAGCTCCCACACTCGCCAAGGAGTCTTCTAACATGAGTGCTGGAATATCCTCGTTCAAAAGATGGGCCACATACCCCAGCGGGGGCTCCCAAACCGAAAAATGCGGCGATTTGGAGACCAAGCACCCTGTTTCGCGGGCAGCACGTCGGAGCCTGTAGCCGGCCCAGACCGTGGCCGCGAGCGTGGCCGTGCTCAGAGGATGACGACAAACTCCAAAAAACAAACTTCCCAATACACTGCGCTGCTGGACGGCAGATTTCTGCGCGGAGGGCATGCTAGAGGAAGCAGGGGGGGGATGGGCCGAGGCCCCTGCCCGTGCCCGGTCTCGGCTTACCTGCTCTGCCTCCAACTGTTGCAATTTCTCCATTTGATCACGATAACGTTTCGATACTGGCATGGGACCTGTGCCCTCGCCGTCGGCCGGCGTCCAATTGATTTCGATGGCGCGATGGGCGGTGGGGAGGTGAAAGAGGACAAGGACAAAAAGGAGAAACACGCGATTGCAGACCATGATGGAACTGGAGGAGATTGTTTGGTCCTATTGCAAAACGCTTAACACAGATGAGCGCATGTACCCGCACGGTTTATTCGTTGATGGCGGTGCCAGGCAGGTTACTGCAGCAAGGGCTGGAGGGCCGGGGCAAGAACGGAAGAGGGACTTGAGCAAGGATGCATGAACGCAGTGGCCAAATGACAGACGCGTGAGCTTTGAAGGACGACAAAATGTATCTATAGGGATTTTGTAAAATGAGTAAATAATAGGGGTGTGCATAAGGACAGATAGGAGGAATTCTGGTTGTGTTCGGACAGAGGGGGGGGAACAACTTGTGATGGTATCCTCGGAGAGTGTTCGTGCTCGCAAAAACCGAGTCCAGACCTAAAGTCCGGTTCAGGGCAGCGAGATCCGATTGAATTTTTCAATATCTGCATTCAATCAAAATTTTTGTAGAGCGTGCGAGGGCATAGAAGGCTTCCTACGCATTTCGGAAGGCCAAAAGAGCAAGGACTGGGAGGCTGGGCCAGGGTCCAACTTATGAGGGACCGAGAGCTTAAGGCGAGCATTGAGCGCCTTTGTTTTTCGTTTTTAAGGAGGAAAATTATGTTTGCAGCTTGCAATTCGATTCAAGTTTGCTTTCATTTTAATGCTGCGTGTATCCGTCTTGTCTCCATTGTGTGCACTGCCCAGTACTTCCACTTAATCACTTTTCCCCCCTTCCCCCCCCCCCAAC